TAATCAAGGAAGACATCTATTTCGAAACGATTATGTTGTTTTTAATAAAATCTTGTAAAAGACGTTTCTTCCATAGGATCCCATGTTATGAATATTTTCAAAACATTGCATGGAATGGGATGAAATTGTCCCATTTCCCACGCGGAGCTCTGGTCTATATAATGGAACTTAACTACTCTTTTATAAAGGATGAATACAAAGAAAAGACGTGTTCTCTTCATTTTGATCAAGAGATTATTGTTAGTTTCTTAATGAATCAGACACATGTTTCAAATATCGAAATATAATTGCACAAGCTATTTTCTTAAATGATTTTGTTTGCTTCTTCTTGTTATATGCATATTTCTAGATAATGATCAATAAGAGAACACGAATGATTAATTACACAGTATCAGATTGAATGAGTCTTGTTTTCATGTTGTAGAAAGAAAAAAGAAAAACGAACTTTGTACCGTGTGCTAACTCACGGAGTGTATTCGATACAAAAATATAGGTGAAATCATCATTATTTATTTTTTTCTTTACCTTTTCTCAATACAATAGCATCAATGGATGATAAAGGGTAATATCACTGTCTTATGCTCATATACTCTAGAAAATCATTCATGGACACACATACATATGATATTTGCTTTCGACAATAGGAGAATCATAAAACCTCACATATTCTTCATATACGATTGGTTTTTCAAAAAGTTTCATAATATAACTATACTTCTAAATAGATATTAACAAAAAAAAACGACGAAAACATGAGAATTGATTTTTCAAAGAGAATAAATAAAAACAAATTTTCTAATATTTATCATTGAGTTCAGTATTAACTTATGATTAGATTAAGTCTCATAGAAAACTAGAACAAATTATAACTTCAAATAATAACATTTGATTGTACTAATCTTATAAAATATTATTTTTAGTGCAATGATTGAATTAAATACAATTGAAGATCATTCTAAAACTGAAGTAAAAGATGATAATAATAAAGAACAATGTACTGATGTATTAATAGAACCAGTCGTTGCAGGAAATATCGATAAACCTGTTGAATCATCTCCAACAAGATCAACACGTTTCTTAGGAGTATTTTATGCATTAGTATCAACATTTATTTTTACAGTTACAATGTTTGTAGCAAAAGAATTAAAAGTAGATGTACTTGATGCAATAATTCCCTCTTATCTATTGAATACCATCTTATTGTTTATCTATATGAAATTCATAAAACATTATTCATTATATAGAAAATCAACGAAACAAGAAATATTTTTTTTATTCATCAATGTTTTTTGCACTACCAGTGGCATTTTTGCTTATTATTTAGCTTATCGTTATTTAACGTTACCAGATGTAATAACAATACGTTTTACACAAGTTATTTGGACAGCAATTATAACTACAGTTCTTTATCGTGAAAAACCATCTATACCAATGATAGCAGCTATTTTATTAACAACTATTGGTGTGATATTTGTTGCTCAACCAACTTTTTTATTTAGTAAAATATCGACTACATCTAAAACTAATATTTCAAATAATTCCCAGCCACATATAATAGGTATATTAATTGCATTTTATTGTTCAATAGCATTCGCCATAGGGGTACTATCAAATAAACATTTATTCTTAAGATATAAAACAAAACATAGTTTAATAGTATTCTATTTTACATTTATAACACTTTGTGCGCTAATTGCTTATGTATTTTATAAGTATAATTATTCTATTGGTCAAACGCAATCATTCAAAAATGATTTTTTTAATTGGAGATATCTATGTGCTTCATCAGTTTTTTTATTATATACACCTGGATTGCTGTTAATGCAAAAAGCAATTAAATATGAACATCCATCAATATTTACAATACTTCAATCTAGTGGTATTTTATTCTCAATTATATTACAAAATACTTTCTCATCAGTAAAATCAAACCTTTTATCATTATTTGGTTCAGCTCTTGTTTTATTAAGTATATTAACAATAACTGGATCTAAATATATTAATGAAAAACGAGCGAAAAAAAAATTAATACAACAGACTTCTGCTAAATAAGTTTGACTTTTTTTTTATAGTTTTTAAATTAAAATAAACTAGTATATCTTATTTTTCAATTAATTTAATCTATTATTAATTGTCTCTTTTAGTATCTTGCAACTGGGTTGAGTATCTAGTACTCGACTCGATAATATATCAGATCTCGATGTTTCAAAATATTTTTACTTTTTCAAGTTGATTTATATATAAAAAAAATAGAAATGAAAATGGATTCGATCATGATCAAGCAATTTATTGTACTTGAGAACAGGTTACAGGAGTGCTACAAAGTGATATTGTTTTATAATGAGACTTCATTTTTAATGAAAACTCATCTATCGATGATGAGAAATCATATGATGAAGTAATTGAATATATAGAGAGATAAATAAATTATCAAAAATATGAACATCTATTATCATAATAAAGAAAACATTCATGTATGTATTCATAATTGTGATGTTTGGCATCAACATTGATTTCCATCCCAGTGTTATCGGCAATAAGCAAATGTATACTTAGAAAAATTGATCAGATTTTAGAAATAGAAAGACACCAAGTAAATTCTGAATCACTTGCTTATTTGTGGACTTTAAGATAATCTCTTCTTTTTGTTGATGTTTATGGAAGAAACTATCAAGTATACTTGAGGATGTGTGAAGTATGTGCTAGTCTGAATAGAAGATTCGCACCTTGCACTCATCCTCTCTTGTGTCACACCCGCATTCACATCCGAAAAAAGGCTGTTAAAATATATGACTGACCTACAGAGTGTTCCAAAAGTCGCGCTGGAAAGTAAATTCTTATATCTTCTTTATTTGTCAAAACAAATCAATTATCTTTTTTTTCCTATGATAGGTATCACCTACAAGATTTTATTCATACGAACCAGCTTTACAAAAAATGTTAAAAGATATCACTTTTGACTGAAATACAGAGAATATGTTTTTTCAAATTCCACTGAAGATAGTGTGTATCGATGGTTTTTTTGATCATTTCAATTTTTGCGATATTCTACGTTTTCAACTGTTTAGAGTCGTTTTATAGTTATTTTTTAGATATTCTCATGAAGAAAAATCCAGTATTGAAGCTCGCTAATATACTACAAAAAACATGTTAATAAAACGATCCTAAACAGTTGAAAACGTAGAATATCGTAAAAATTGAAATGATCCAAAAAAAATCATCGACACAGTTTCTTGAGTGAAATTTGAAAAAATGTATTCCCTATATTTCAGTCAAAAGTGATATCTTTTAACTTTTTTTTTTAAAGTTGGTCCGTACGAATAAAAACTGCTAGATGATGCCTATCATAGGAAAAAAAAGACAATTGATTTGTTTCGACAAATAAAGAAGTCGTAAGAATTTACTTTCCCACGCGACTTTTGAAACACTCTGTAGAAGAACATGCTAAAATACCTATGTTAGCGTTTGAGAAATATTCAACAGATATTTTATTACCATTGCGTCTAAACAAAACAATGATCGTGCTATTTCATCATACTGTTGTCCCTGAATATCGGAGAATATTCTTTGAGAATTAGAAATTTGAGTTTATATTTATGTTTAAGTATCCGAGAATTGAAATCAGAACTAAACTAGATTAGGGCGTTTAAATATAATCACGTCAAGCAGACATAAGAAATATTCACTGTGGTCCTCGAAAACTATATTACACTATCTCATGAAGTGATGTTAAGACTCGATGCTTATTCTTTTCCAATATTTTCTCTTCCTCGTTTCATATGGATATGTGTATTATGGTTTTTTCTTACTGAAAAACAGAAAATAGAAATTGAGCAAGTTTAAATATTAGGTCTTAGAGTAGTATATTCTTTATGAGGATGTGACGACCATACTAATGTATTATTAGTTAGAGAAAAAATATTAACTGATTATGTATATGAACATTGGACAAAATTAAACAACCATTTATACAAATCTAATGAAGCTTCTGAATTCAATGAAATATTTGAATTCTATATGTTTCGTTACCTCTCCAAATCATATTCATTTATACTATAAAAGTATGGATTTTAGAAGAAATAGTGAGTTTCTAGAAAGGTTAACACAATGTGCTACTCATATTTATTTAGATTTATTCAGTTTCTTTAATATTCAGAAAAACCAAATAAACTATAATTGTACTTCAACGAATGATTTAAGAGATTGTGTTTGTATGTATCTTCTCCTCCTTGATACCAAAGATTTTTCTAAATATGCTAGACATATCATCTTTAACTTTAACTGGGGATGTCGGATTAGAATTAGCATTAGCATTAATGATTAAACCTAACGCTTAAGGATTATTAGCATTAGAATTAATTAATGCTTAGGTGTTACCATTAATTTAGCATTATTTTTAATTCTAATGCATGTAGTGGATGTAAGTTTTAGGTGGCTACCTTGACATACTACCTTTAATTTTTCAAGATCTACCAGATGGGATATGAATGTATAGGATAGAAATACCGTAAAATTACAGCAGATTTTATTTTTACCACAATGAGACATCGCTAGTTTCAGTTTTGCACTTTGATTAAGATATTGTATTATGTTTTCATTGGATGAAGTCACGTAGAGACAAATGCGAAGTATTCAGACGATGTCAAAATCTGCAAAAACCCTTAGAGAAAAGAAACCAACAATTCTTCACCGTTCTAGTTTTCGGTCTCACTAATTTGATTTATATGGATTCTTTGTGTAGAGATGACTCTACTCTCTTTTAAAAAAGGGTATCATAAGGAACCATTGAGGATTTTATCGAAGATGCTGAACTTTTTAAGGTTCTAGAAAATTTAGAGAACCATTCCATGTAAAATGAAGTTTCAAGCGTTTAGAATAGTTCTATCTCGCATCATTTTTTTATTGCTGAACTCCTTTTTAGAAGGATGGTTCTAGCGCAATTTGCTTGAACTACACTGAGAAAAAAAGGTGCCAAACGAATTATCTGAAGTTTCACAGAACTTTACTATACTTTTATCCTATGGCACTAATGCAAGAAACCTCTCTAAAGTTTCATAATCTGATAGATCGCGAATAACAGCCTCTCCAGGTTTCGTAACAAAGGAAGCTTCGTACTGAACCTCTCAAACGTACTGATTCAGAAAGTTTCGTACTAAACTATTTTCTTTCCGTTTCTCCACAATAGCACTCTAAAAAAAGGTTTATTACTGAACCTTAAAAGTTTTTCACTTGGGTACGCAACTTCTTTAGGCTTCGAAAAATGAAAATCATTTCGGACTTTCCATGCCAATTTTTTTTTGGTTCAGAAAAATTCAACGGGTTTAATATCTTGCATACTAAACTATTTCTAGATTCAGAGAAAAAGCAAAGATTTTCGCACTTTTCACACGAAATCATCATGCTTCCTTACAATCAGAAAAAGTCTCGTATCATCTTTACAAACCTCTATTTGGTTTGACAGAATAAGGAAAGGTTCTATATGATTTGTAGAGAGACTTGGATAGTTTCATTCGATACAAGAGAGTTTCGTATTTTTTCTACGGAACCTACTGTATGTGGTTTTTACTGTGAAAGGTTCCATAGTTATCTTACTAAACCTTTCATAGTTCCGTAGAATATTAGATAGTATTGTAGTTTTCTTCCCGAACCATTTTCGTACTTTGAGAAAAGAAAAAGAATCCGTGTATATTCTACAAAATGTTCTGAGTGAGCAATTTCTGTTAAAGGTTTTTTCCGAGCCTTTTTCTCTGTGGTCGGCAAGTGAAAGCTTTTCTACAAAACTATTAATATTAGCTGCATGTCAACAGGTTTCATGTAAACTGATTCTCCTCGACGACGCTTGTATAATACACAATTAGGCACTGCGCTCGCGTATTGATCTTATGAAGAGTGAGAGTCAAATTGAGCACAAACGTGCAAGAGTATAGTCATAAGCGTATAGATGTAGGCATATAAGCATGAGTATATAGTTATTAAGGTATAGATTTCAAGAGTATAGGTGTAAGGAGACTCAAATAAAGATATAGATATAAAAATATCAGTGAAATAATATAGATGTGACAGGATAGATTTAAAGAAATAGTTCTGAAGATATACGTCTTAGAGTATAGATCTGAGTATAGAGAGGTAAGTCCATCGTCAGAAGGACATACTTATAATGAGTTAAATATAGGAATAAGAGTTTAAGCATAAAAATAAAGGATTAGATGTAGTTATTAGGGCTTAAGCATAGGAATACAAAGTTACTTATACAAGCAAGCGATTAGATATAAATATGAGGGATTACGTATGAAAACAAGAGACTAAGTACAGGAACAAGACTGTTGGTATAGAAATCAGTAGCTACCGAGGCTTATATTTTCGAGATTTATTTGCACTTTTCAATAAGTTCCTAAGCATTTTGAGATAAATCCCATACAGTTCGTCAATAGACGAAGGGTGTAAGTATGGGTGTGAGCGTGCTAAAAAATCGTCACAATCAATAGATCCTCAATAAATAAATCCTGTAGAAAAACTAAACCCCAGTAGTTCCTCATAGGAATAAGAGATTAGACATAGTTATAAATGGTTAACTATAGTTATAAGGAGTTATGTATAGGAACAATGGTTTAGGTATAGAAATAAGCGGTTGAATATAATTATAAGGGCTTGAGTATATAAATAACAGTTGTGGTGCAGAAATAAAAGATTACAAATAGTCATAAGCAGTTAAGTGTAGGAGTAAGGAGTTAAGTATAGAAATAAGAGTTTGAGTACAGAAACAAGGGATTATATATAAGTATAAGGGATTAAATATAAATATAAAGGATTAGACATAGTTATAAAGAGTTAAGGATAGGAACAACAGATTCGACAGAGTCATAAGGAATTAAGTATTGAAATAAGGGGTTAGATATGAGTATAGAAGGTTACACATAATTATAATGGGTTAAGTATAGGAATTAGTGTTTAGGTATAGAAATAAGGGGTTAAGTGTAAAATTAAGGGATTAGATATAAGAATAAAAGGTTAGAAATAGTTATAAGCGGTCAAGTATGGGCATAAGAATAAGA